GCAGCCTACGCCGTCGCCAGCGACTCACGGCAGCCCAGCTCCAGGTTGAGCTGTTGTTCAGCATCTTAGCTGTAGAGGGCAGTGTCACTGGCCCTTTATGTGGGATCTGAACCAGGGCCCTCTGGCGTCCCAAGCCAGCTCTTAACCAACACACCCCTCGGCCGGCCCTTCTCTTTTTTGAGAAGAGTGAGTTCTAGGACTGACTGACACTTGCTAGTTGTCTATCCTAGCACTTGGAGCCTCAGTTGTTTCACCTGCAACATGAGGAGTGTAATACTTGCGTGGGTTTTAAAGGAGACGATATATAATCTGTCCCCCAGCATAGCCCTGTCCTAAGACAGGCCTTGCCTGGGCTCTGGCCTGGGCCAGAGTGGTTGAGGAACAGCCCCACTTTGGCTCTCAGGTCCATGGTAGCTGATGTGCCTCAGCCTAGCACAGGAAACAGTCTTAAGAGATGCCCACTGCAGTTGTGTCTGAGAAGTCTCATGCACACATTTGTCCTGGGATAATTGGAGTAACTGGGGTACTGGAGCTGTCCAAAGTGGCTAAGTCCAACCTATCATTTTTCTCCTTAGTCATGATCCTTTAAGGGTTTGCCAGAGCCTGGCATGGAAGGGAGCTCTCCCTCTCTGCCAGTGGCCTTTCGGTCTCACCCTCTGAACTGTATATTGATGTTTGTAACATTATGCCCAGCACTACAGAAACCCATCCTCACTCAAAATAAAATCATTTTCTGTTCTGTTTGGAGAAGCTGTATATTTTTATTAAATTGTTATTTTTAATGCTAATATATGAATAATTTTCCTGGTCAGTTTCCCTTGTCCTTCAAAGTGTCACACATGGATGACCTGGCCAGACAAAGGAAGATTAAGGAGTGTTTTTTTCAAGTGCTACAGGAGGTGGGTACTTCTGCTACATACCATTAACTCTTAGTATGTGGAGATGGTTTTATGCTCATTTTAATCTATGCATATCACACTTTAAAGTAGGTATTTCTTGACCGGCATGCCCATCTGTTGATCTCTTCATTGTTTGTATCTATCCATAATCTTAAGTCCATTGTATAGCACAGCATACAATAAAAGGTCTTTGCTCTTTTCTGATCCTGTTTCTTAATGAAATTTTAGTAACTTAATTTAAAACAGTGGTTTCTAAATACAGATGGATAACTATTAAAAAACAAATACTCAGGCCCCAACCCAGGATTACAGAATCAAAAATCTGTATGAGCAGAAACTAACGTAGCTGTTCTGGAAAGCAATCTAGAAGAAACTAGTCAAACTTTAACAACTAGACCCAGCAGTTCCACTCCTGGACATATTCCAGGGAGTCTGTTTATTGCGGTGTTTGTCTGTGGAGGCGAGGGAGGCATTGGCGTGAACTCAGGTATGAACACTATGGAGTATAATGCGGAAGTTAACGATCAGGGAACAGAACAGCAACACAGCACGATCTTAAAAACAGTCCTGAATAAAGAGAGAGAGAGAAATAATGAGGTCAGTTAAAACAATTTTCTTGACAAAACAACCACATTTTATAGGAACAAATTACAAACAAAAGCCTAAACAATAAACATTAAAATAGTTACCTGCTGCAGTCGGGAATGCAATAGGTGTGGGGAATGTGGAGAAAAGTGGATACACTTTTTTTATGTCTATATGAGTGGGGCATGGTAGCTGGTAGTTTTAGTAAGCTCTCCCAGGTGATTCTGATGTGCATCCTGGTTTGGAAACTACTGGTTTAAGGAATGAATTCCCACACACTGTGAAGCCTTTGCCAAAATGAAATATTTGAAAGCTTTACGTTTGATTTGGAGAATATTTTGATGCTTATTTCTTTTTTCAGTGAGAATATTTTCTTGTCCAAAGAAACACAGTACATTTCTTTGGGAATTAGAGACACAGGCTATATTTTATATTTATGAAGTAAAATATTGCCTGGACTTAGGATACATTTTACTCTGAAAACCCCAGTCTGTGTTGACATTTTAGATAAATTGTTGATGGGAAATTCACGGTAGATTTGCAGACCAGGTGACTTCATTTCTAATCAGAGGTTGTCATTGTTTCTTTGCTGTTATTTCCAGGCAGTGAGGGAAACACTGATGATTTTCCTCATTGACGAGGCCCAGCATCTGGATGCAGCTTCCTGGGAGTTTTTGGGAGCATTGCTCTCCAGTGTGCCCATCATCATCGTGATGACGCTGACACCTCCCTTGCCCCTATGTGGCAGGGCCCAGCACTTCCTGCAGAGCCCTCAGGCCGTCCTGGTGCCCATCATGAAGTTAGCAGTGAACTCACTGTTGAAAATGGCATGCTGGGAACTGAGGGTGGTGAGCATCCCCCAAGAGCTGCAGATGTGAGTGGCTAGGACTAGCTGGGCCTTTCATTAAGGGAGGAGCCAGGGCCATAATATAAGTGAGAAGGCTCTCAGGTCTCATGGAACCAGAGCTGGGGGAGAGAACAGCATTAGTAACCAGCCCGGAAGGCCCTACCTCCCTGGGCTAGCCTCCCAAGTGTTCACAGGACAGTTAGGACTTGGATGGCTTGCTTCATGTGTCGGTTATATGTAGTCAGGCCAGTTTAGCAAGGGGACATGAGTTCTTTTTAACATCAATAGAAGCAAAATAGCTAAGGAAGAAAAGTTACTGCCAAAATATATTTCAAAGCCAATCATAATTTTTTGCTTACATTTCTGTGCTGCTGTTTCCTTCCTACCAAGAGCTCACTGTAACAAAAGAAGAAATATTCCTATTATGTAATAGCCTTATGCTTGGCTGTCTTCAGGTGGGGATCTTTAGTCAGCAACCCCTACTTACCTCTCTACAGCTACATTCTCCACAGGTGCTTGGGAAACCCTCTCTACTGTGAGGTCCTATGCCAGGATCTTCTCTCTAAGGATATACTGCTCTTTCATGACATACAAAAGGAGGAGGAGGAGGAGAACAGCAAGTGGGAAACCCTCTCAGGTAAGCTTAGCTTCCGAGGGGTCGACCCTGGTCCAGCTGCTGGAATTCGTCTTCAACATGGCGCCACCCCCAGCCCTTACAAGGAACATGCGCATTCTCTGCTGGCATTATAGGCAACATTAGCCCTTCCTAGCTAAGTGCACTTGGCAAATAATATGCAACTATGGTGAAAACACTAAATACCTGCCTCCGATAACTTCATTGAGTCAATCAATCTCCTATAGTTCCTTTGCAAGCAGCACAGGAGATGGGGATAGGAACATAGGATCTGTAAACATGACAGTCCACTAGAGGGGATTTATAAACATGAGAGTTCAACAGCGAATTGTACATTACTTAAGAGAAGAGTGCCTTGAGGATTTGGATGGGGGAAATGGGAGAAGGGAGGAGGGCGGGAGAGGAAAAAAGGAGTAGAAGTGTGTGTAAACCCAGAAAGGCATCCTCGAGCTGTGATATAATAGAAGTGAGGCCTATTAGAAGGTAAACAGGAAGAGTGAGAATGTTAGACACCATTGGTGCAGAAAATGTTGTTAGTTTCTAAGAGAAAACTAGAGAACAGGCAGGATGGGGTAAACCACTTTAAACGTGATAGGTTCCATTCATCTTCATCCTTTTAGTTTCTTTTTTTTTTTAAGATTTTATTGGGGAATTGAGGGAGGGGAACAGACAAGTTGCTGTCCTTTTGTTCTTCAGTCTAGTTGTGGAGGACGTCGCTTCACTGNCAATGATGGTGCCAACTTGGGCCAGTGAAGCAACGTCCTCCACAACTAGACTGAAGAACAAAATGACAGCAAATAGTCTGTTCCCCTTTCCCCAATTCCCCAGCACTGTTCCCATCCCCCCAATTCCCCAATAAAAATCTTTAAAAAAAAAAAAGGGATTCATATATTTGCTCCACATATGAGTACATACTTCACATGTTTGTTGTTAATGATCCACTAAAGGATCAGGCGAGGTAATCAATTTGAAAGTACTTCGAGAAGCATATATGAAGTATCTGACAAATATAAGGTATTTTTAGTCTTTTTACTAATCATTACTCCCCAAAATTCCCCTAAAATTTCCCTAAAATAATTGCACCCTAGCTAACATTCCTGGAATAGGGGGACTATTTTGTTTCTATCACATGATGTAGACTGACGGCAGCCTCTGGCCTGTTCTACTCTGAGCTCTAAAACTAGACTTCTGGATGTAGGTGGTGGCAGATCTAGTAGTGCCTGCCTTGGAGGCTTCTGACGGTGTATTTACCCATTGTTGCTTTTCTGATCCCCAGGCTTGTTTCCATCAGTATCACCAATGGACCAGTCTTCTGTGGCATGGTCGGGGCAGTAGCAAGACATGAATACACAGGTAGAATAAGGCACGGGACTGTTGGTTCTGTGACTTAGCGGGTAAAGGTGGAGGAGATGATCCCAAAATTCTTGAATCCTTTTCTGTCTCCTGGACACAGTGATTGGTCCAAAAGTGAGCCTTGTGACCCGAATGATAACGGCTTATCCAGGTTTGGTGTCCTGTGATGAGGTAACATATCTAAGATCCATGCTACCTGCTTACAACTTCAAGAAACTGCCAGAGAAAATGATGAAAAACATCTCCAACCCCGGGAAGATGTATGAATATCTTGGTCATAGAAGATGTATGTGAGTGTCCTTGTGTGATAGTTCATTCCGATCTCTGTTACAGAATCAGGGCATGAGAGTAATCAGGGCTTGACTGTATGAAATTAGAAAGGAAGATACTTCTGGTACTGGCCTATTGGAATAAGAAACATAAAGAGAGGGTTTAGTGTCTGAGATCTTCAACTTTTATGTTTGGTTCTTAAATAGTTCCTCAGTGAACTCCTTGCTATCCAACAGGAATAACAATAGGTCATTAATCTGTATGTTCTTTTTTCTTTGTGTACGTCACAGTGTATCTATTCCCCTGAACTTAGAACAATCAATAATACTTCTCCCCTCCCTATTCCCAAAACTTTTAGTTTTTTTTAAACTCTTCTATACAGAACTCTGTACCTCTTGAGTTATCTGAAAACACTTGTTTATGAGAACAATTATTCCTCTATTTTAAGATACATTATCTATCCCAGTCTATTTTTAATGGACACATTCCATTTGTCCTTTTTCCTAGAATGTTTGGGAAGAGACATTTGGCCAGAGAGAGAAATAAAGATCACCCTTTGTTAGGTGAGAATTTTTTTTCTACCTTAAATTATCTTTTTGCAGCTGTAGGTGACTAATTGTGATTTAAAAACAAAATTCAAGACTAAATGCTTCTAAGCTTGTATTAAAATATAGAAAGCAGCCTTCTTAGTGAATTTAATGTTAATTCTGGAGAGGACTTGCCATTTCTTTTCCATGTTGAATGTTTAAATTTCAGGTGGAGTTTTGTCACTTTGCCTGAGAAGTACCAACATTTAGTAAGAATCTTTGTAAGTTTGAGTTCAGCTATTGAGATCTGACCAGCTTGTTGTGGATCGCCTTGAAAGGGAAATCCCTCATCCTTAAATAGCGAAGATAGCATCACGATGTTGCCACTCTGTACTTACTTTGTCTATATCTGTTAGTCCATTGTCTTTACATAGCAGTGACAGACTTTGAAAACTAAATTGTTATTATGGAAACTTTTACTAAAAGCTAAGAACATAGAGTAGCCTCATGTCCACATGGCGCCTAATTGTCCTGAATGCCATTTCTTAGGCTCTGGAGCAAATCCCCAAGCCCAGCACACATGTCTGTATAGTCCAGAGTGAATTTTCTGGAAAGAGATGTATGAAGCCTCATCAAAGAATGGGATTCTGCCAGGAATCCGGGTGGGGGGGGGGGTTGAGCGGGGCCATTTGGAGACTTAACTTTGCATATTAATTTAAATACATGGAGTGCTTACTAAAAAGCACAGGAGGGTTAGGTGCTCCCTGTCTCTCTACAGACCGGGAGAAAGAACTGGAAGCCTTCCGAATGGCACAGCAGGGATGTTTGCAGCAGCAGAAGGGACGAGCAGTTGTGTATGAAGGTGGAAAAGGCTATGGCAAGAGTCAGCTGTTGGCCAAAATAAACATCCTGGCCCAGAAGGAAGGGCGCAGGTAAAGACTCCTGCTTTCTGCCTTAGGGTCTGCTTCTCTTGAGGCTGCTTTCCCTTTTTGGTGAGACTCTTATATCATCAGATTCAGCATCCTCGGGCTGGTAGCGTGAGTAACCTCTCTGTGGGTCAGTGGACTCCTTGTGACCATGGTAACATTCGCCAGGGTGTTGCCAATGAAGCTGAAGGAGGCAGATTCCACGCAGTGCTTCTATGCCATTCAGACCCTCATGGCCATCTTCTTTGAGCTTGACACGTGCCCAGCCTGTTACCGGCAAGAGTGCCTGCACATCCAGCTCCGTGGAGTGGTGGAAGAGCCACTGCACTGCCTCTTTAATGACCTCTTCTTTGTGAAGGTAATGAAGCAGTGGCTTCCTGAATTGGATTACTAATTACTAATATATATATATATGAACACACAGTTAGCAATGGCAGGATTGAGATTGGAAATCCCTGTGATACCAAAACCCTGGCTTTCTCTTTTTTTTTTTTTAAAGATTTTTATTGGGGAATTGGGGGGATGGAAACAGTGCTGGGGAATTGGGGGAAGGGGAACAGACAAGTTGCTGTCATTTTGTTCTTCAGTCTAGTTGTGGAGGA